TACAGTCCTGGAGATCAGAAGCCACAAATATCACAAGCCAAAAATACATTCCTGGAGATCAGAAGCCACAAATATCACAAGCCAAAAATACAGTCCTAGAGATCAGAAGCCAAAAATACAGTCCTGGAGATCAGAAGCCACAAATATCACAAGCCAAAAACACAGTCCTGGAGTTCAAAAGCCACAAGTCCTACCTTCCTGGATCTCAGAAGCCACCAATTTCGCTAGCCACACTTCCTCTCCTCTTTCGCAAGCCCAAACAGTGCTGCCTAGCTGAATTTCGCTAGGCAAACACTTCCTCTTTCGCTAGCCAATACAGTGCTGCTTTGCTAGATTTCGCTAACCAGTGGCATGCCACGAAATTCGGAGAGCAGCTCGTTCGCACCAATTTCGTAAGTTGGAACGCATTCTTAAGTCGAAGCAAATTTTTTCGGGAGGCGCGTTTCGTAAGTCGAATTTTTCAGTAGAAGAAGCATTCGTAAGTAGAGGTACCACTGTATATTGTCTTCAGTGTAGTAACTAGTAGTGGAAGGAGTTTTTCTTTTCCTAAAGCAGATTTACAGAAAGAGCATTTACCAGCATAGGTAGATGGGAGATATTATTTTGGAGTATTTGCTGTTTTTACAAAATGAAGCATTCTTTGCCACATTTGAAAAACCTTGAGTAGTCTTAACCTGAAAGATCAAAATGAATACTTTTTAGAATTTTTTAGGTGTCCACAAACATGTCACTTAAAACTTCATTGAAGTGAAAGTATTTTTTTACAAGTTTCTCCAAAAGGAATTGCGTTCTTTCTCAGGATTGATGCTGTCACACTCCCTAAATTTACTATCGATCTGTCCATTCACTGTCAAACACACTTAGATCCCCTTCGACAATTTTCTTTCACTTACCTGGTTCTGTTACTGTGTTCTTCAGGCACTTGCTGCTAGTTTTCTGTGTTTTCTGTCTTTAATCCATGTCTCTTCTCCAGCTGAGATTACATGATCCACCATGGTTGGTGACATTTGGCTCCATTCTTCCCATTCAGCAGTATCAGTGGGATCATATGTTAAACTTTGACAGACTTGAGACTTTGCTTTTATATATAGACCTATAACAAATAAGACTTGCTGAATTAAATATGGCTCCCATTTTGGAGTTTGTATTAAATGTTGCTAGTACACCAGTATGGTAATAAAAGTTTCTAAAAACATTTTCAAATGCCTATTTATACAGAAACTACTTTAAGGCTGTAGTTGAAGATTAGATACCTAGGAGTCAGTCCCATGAAGCCTGTGAAGCTTATTATTGTGCATGTGTAGAATTGCATTGTAAATGATTTTTTTTAAAAGTCTCATAGATAATAGTGAGGTCCATCTTGTTTCCAAGCAGGATTAGAGATGGGGACCTGTGTATTGGTAGTAGCACCCACATCCTGTCTTATGTTGGTTTAAAGCCATTTGTCAGAATTCTTCCACACACATATAGTTTTATTTGGGCACTGAACAAGCTGGAAGTCTTTCACAGAAGCCACTGTTATTACTTTGGCCATGCTCTCCTGTTTCTCAGGCCAAGGTTGTGTTTACTTCTTGGTTAAAAACATTAGACTTTTTTTGCTCAGAGTGAATAATGGAAAATAAATCACCATCTCTCTCTTTTGCGTAGTGTTGTAAATAGCTTAGCATATAAAACTCAGGGCCAGTCTCTGTGTGGGGCACATAGGTATGATGTTATAGCTACACTCCATCTGACCTCCTAAATTTTTGTTGTGTGCTTTCAAGTCATTTCTGATTTATGGCAGCCTTAAGGCAAGCCTATCTGGTTTTCTTGGCAAGATTTGTTTAGAGGATTTTTTGCCAGTGCCCCTCTCTGACAGAATGTGACTTGACTAGGGTCACTCAGTGGGTTTCCATGACTGAGTGGGGATTTGAACCCTGGTCTTCAGAGTCATAGCCCAGTGTGCAAACTGCTACACCACACTGGCTCTCTGACTTTATAAAATCCACCTTAAAAGCCAGGCAGCCATTCTGAGTGAAGGAGTTCTCTGGTGCTGGTGAGCAGGGTGCTGATGGATGACTTGTCTAGCACCCTTCTGCCAGTGAGCAGCAGTGCAACAAGCAGAAACAGGGACCCTTGTGGGATTCTGTCACAACTCCTTATTGCACTATGGCTCACTGATGGGAGAGAGCTGGACACATCAATGCCCTGATTACCAATGCTTTAGAACTCCTTCACTTTGTACAGCTGCCAGGCTTGTAAGGTAGATTTTAGGAACATTTACAGTTATGGCAATGGTGTTACAATCATGAATATGAAACAGTTACAAGGTCACACATCTAGCTTATTGTGTCATAACTGCCTAATGGGATGACATTCCCCGTTTATAAAAGGATTAGTAATCCTTGCATAGCGTAGTGCTTTAAGTGTTGGACTACAACTGGAGACCAGAATTTGATCCCTGCTCAGCCATGAAACCTGTTGGATGACCTTTAGCAAGTCACACATCTTCAGCCTCAGGGGAAGACAATGGTAAACCTCACCTGAACAAATCTTGCCAAGAAAACCCCATGGTGGGTTTGTTTTAGGGTCACCATAAGTTGGAAACAACTTGAAGGCACATAATCCTTTCTTAAGGGTGACAGAAGATATACAACAAGATGCATACCATACTTCTTCCTGCCCCATACAATATAGTATTAGAACTTGTTCAAATGCAAAACTGGAATTTTCAATATGGCAGTACTACAGAAGCTGGCATATACCAGGTACATACAGTAAAATGGTATGAAAACACATGGTTATTGTTTAAATGAAACATTATAGTGGCAGTATATTTTTCTTACATATGCACACATGCCCTGAATAACCATATGCATGTTTATTCAGAATAAAGTCCCATTAATTTAGTTACCCTAGCCCAGTTTGCATAGAGGATCCCATTCCAGGAGAAAAGCAAGGTATAAATTCACTCAATCAGTAAAAAATAAGTAGGACACCCACTTACATTACACACATCTGCACAGCTACTCACAAATCTAGGTAAACAAATAGTATTTCTTGGCTTAATATGGAATAGAGACAGCAAACATTTTCTGCTCATTGCACTTATAAGCACTGCATGGCTTTTAAATGGGTGCTGCTTGATTGAGTTCTCACTCAGAATATGCACAGCCTTCTTGTATTTTACAGTTTGTACAGTCAACAACATCTTAAGTCATGCAGATATGGTTTCATTTGTTCTAATCTTAATGGATTTTGATTTGCATATTATAAATTGGCAGTAATCATTGTTTTGTTTTAAGGTGTTTGATTTACGTCAGTGTCACCGTCAGATGCAACAGCAGGCTGCCACAGCACAGGCTGCAGCTGCTGCTCAAGCTGCTGCAGTTGCAGGAAACATCCCCGGGCCTGGATCTGTAGGGGGAATTGCACCCGCTATCAGTAAGTGGTACAGAGCACCTGTGTACTGCCTGTCTCCACCTCCTTTTTTAAAAATAAACTCCCTTTTGGCAGGGAGATAATAATATACAATGCAATGTACGATGTCAGCTCAACTCAGACAACATGCCAAACCAGGACTCGTGCTCATTGAGTTAAGAGCTGGTTTAAACTTAGATACTGAGAGACATGAAAGGCCAAGACAGTGTGGGGTTTCTTTCATCCCCCCCCCCGGCAAGAATTTTCTTACGAATTTTCTTACCTTACAAAATAGGACTGAAAATAAAATGAAATATTATGCAAATAAAAAGGTTATGGAATGTTCTCCTTCAGCATGATAAAGAACATATATTATCCATAGAGAGGTTTGGCTCAATCCAAACAAATCTTCATTTTCTAGAAATCAATGCAAATGATAACAATTAAAAATCAAAAGTAGCAAAAGCATTTTTTTGTGATAGCTCAGAAAATGAGGCTGATAAGATAGGTGGATATAGCAGAATAACTGTTAACTGAATCTTGATCTTTTCCTTTCTGTAGCTGTTTTGTAGAGGTAAGTCTTCAGAGAAGATCAGTGAAAGAACTTGTGATCCCTAGGAGCGTATTCCAGGGGCCATAGTAGAGTAGATTAGATCTCACCCTCTGGGAAGGAAGGGGACAGAGACTTTGGATCTTTGACCTTGGGAAAGAGACCCCAACTTTAGAATCTCCATTTCAAGTTCCTGTGGAAAAAAGGGGCTCGCCACGAAATCAGCTTTGTAAGTACATACTATGTTGAAAAGGGGCAAAACAAGCACAATGATGAAAACAAGAGAGGATATAAGGCTCATTTCACACAGCGTACCAAATCAGTGGGGTGTGATCATGGGGAAAAATTTAGATCAGCCACAGAGCTAGTATAAATAATTTCCCCCTCTTGCTTGTAATTTAAGAAGCAGAAGAAGCAGAAGCAAACTTATCCTGTTGTCTCTTCTCCTCTACCAGCTCATGCCAGCCAGGAATAAGGCATGTCAGCTGGTTAGGATCACCCTGTAATTTTACAGTACATAATGACTTCTTTAGTGTTACAATGTGGGTGGTTTTTTCTGTTCTCAACATTTTTACTTTTTTGCCAGCATCTCATAAAATGCAGAATGAGATGGTTTCTTTGGGGTTCTGCCCCTTGTAGATCCATAAATAACATTAGTTAACATTCTGATAAAATGTCAGCTGATTTGTTTGATTTGGTTGTAAAATATCAATGATTTTGTTGATGAAAGAAACCTGGAAGCCACCCCAAGGTCATTTGTAAACTGCCAGATGAGCAATATATAAACCTCTCCAGTGAATGAATGAATAAAAAATACATTAAAAAATACATTCAGTTAGTAAATTTGTACCCATTGTCTGTATAATCTATACTTTTCAATTAGCAGACATGATATATTAATGAGCACATCAAGTTATATAAGTTATACATAGTATATTTATATTGCTAAAATAACTAATTTTGGAACTGTAAAGGGTGCCAAAAAACCTTCAAGTATTACATATTCCCTCCTGCTTTTTGGTGGGACAAAGGAGGAGATATTTTCCCCTTGGTTTCAGAATTTCTAGAAATGTTACATCTCTAAGCACACTATGGTTTAATAGTTTCTCATCTGCTGTTGTTTTTTCTTTGCTCATCATTAATAATAATAATAATAATAATAATAATAATAATAATAATAATAATAATAATAATAATTTTTATTTATATCTCGCCCCTCTGCTAGGCAATATCTCTAGGTACAATATTGGAAGCAAAGCAAGGGCTCATAATAGTTGTCTCTTCAGATACTGTAGAAACCATGGCATGAAAATTCAATTTGAACCACACTGTTGCCAGCTGGTGACTAACTAATTTGTCAATTCATGGACCAAGCTGAGTCCTAGTCAGCCATGATTTTCATGCTGTTTGGACTAAGCCATTATATCTCATTTTCATAGAAGAGTTTGTTTTGCCCCTTTTCAACATGACAGGCCCTTGTAAAATTGGCAGGAGTTCTGGGTGTGAAAGCATTTGCAAAATTCTTTGTCCATTGGAATTCAGAGGGTGCAGCAGTCCTTCATAAATGCTTTGAATACTTCTAAGCAGGAAATCAGAGGCTGCAGTTCCATTGAGGCAGCTGTTACCTCCTGCTGTGTTTATGTGAATTAAATTTTCTGGCCAAAGAAAAAAGAAAAAGGCTGCTTTAAAATAGCTCTACGGGGCAGAAGCAGGGGTGAGTATGCATCGTTAGGACCTCTTGTCAAACTGAGAAGAAAGGTGCACTAAGAATTTTTGTTAAAATATTCCCTGAATGTTAGACTCATGTATAAATCAGGCTTTACAGATCAGAGCAGGAAGAGGACTTGTGCAGGCCTCTAAATGTTGGTAACTACAGCTCCCAGCATTCTGTGTTGTTGACTGTATAGCTAGGTCTGTTGAAAGTTGCTGTTCCAAGAACATCTGGAGCACATTGCTGCTCAACCGTGACCTCAAGGCTGACAGTGAGACAGTAGGCATCATCACACATTTGTTATGCAGTTTTCTCACAACCCAGAAAACAGGTAATGACAAGGTTGGATGAACACTGCTGACTTGGCAAAGAAATTTTAAGAATATTTGTGATGATGAGTAATGGCAAGAACTGAAGGTAGACCACACAAGCTGCTCAAAGCAGATTTGATGCCAGAAAATGATTTTCTGAAATGTACAGCTAAAAACAGTGCTTAATGCTATTCTCTCTTGTTTTTAGGCTTGTCAGCAGCTGCTGGAATTGGTGTGGATGATCTTCGCCGCTTGTGCATCCTGAGGATGAGTTTTGTCAAAGGTTGGGGACCTGATTACCCAAGGCAGAGCATTAAAGAGACACCATGTTGGATTGAGATTCACCTGCATCGTGCTCTCCAGCTCCTAGATGAAGTACTCCATACCATGCCTATTGCAGACCCCCAGCCGCTAGACTGAGACCCTTTGCTGCTCTTAGCTCTTCTAGAGTGAGGATGGTGGATTGTAAAATACCATTTTGTTTATTACTGGAAGATATATTTTACTTCCATTCTGCTTAATCTCTTAACCAGGTTTTAAAGAGAAAATGTCTTTGCCACCTTGCTCTCAGCAGAAAGAATCTGAACGTGCAGTAAGTTTGAACAAGGACCATCACCTTCAGACTTTGCTTTTGAGGTTGTGGGAAGCTGGCGTCAACCAGCCAGCTTTTTATTGTGGTCTTGGTGTGATCACTGCTATGCCTACCTGTTCTTTGGGAATTTCACTTGGCTCAATGGAGCCCCCTCCAAATTCTCACTGTGGCATGATATTGCCACCATAAATAATCCTATGCATTTCAGGGAGCCTAGAAATGGGGCTCTACTTATGCAGTTCTTCAGGCTGTCCTTGAATCCACCCCAAATGAGCAAAATCATGTTGATTATTCTAAAGGGAGGATTTTAGTGCTTTGCTTTACTATGGCACTGGAGCATCTCTCATAGGGACACTCTTGTATGTAAAATATTTATGTACACATATTCTTTTAAAATACACTG